GCTCACATACATGCATTAACGGTACATATGTGTTACGTGTGAGTGCACTTACAATAAACATGCGTGTATTCACGTGTTGCTTATGAGCATTGAAAGCTTATTGCGGCGACAGCAACAACAACAAATTGTTATTAGTTTTAATTATGTTAATGTAACTGTAGATGAGCTTACGATTGAATTGGGGGCTTTTAAGCGTCTAAAAGGTGGCATACAAATTGCTACCCAAATGAACTACCAAAGTTGGGCGAGAGGAATATGTATGGAATAGTGTGTAGTATATTTATTGGATGTTCAAATGGAGTTATGTGTGTATATATAACGACCCTATTTAGAGACAATACTCACTTTCTGACGTACATTTCAGTTATCAGGGTACTAAACTCCGAAACTTATTATATGAGAAGCATTTTCAGGGTCAAAATAAGCGCGGAAGTTTGTACTATATACGGGCCCAACCAGTGTCTTTCAAGCGGACGTAGCTGCCGATATAAATGCTGCAATACCCCCTTGAGCTCGCTAAAAATCCGCTCAAGACTGGTGAAAGAATGACATCTTTATCAATAGACCTTGCTAGTGAGTGCATCCTTACCCCAATTTCATCAGATTGGCAACTAGCTTGTTTTTATTAGCTGTCCTATTGCGTTCTAGCCTTGGATCTATCGATCTCCCGTGAGCTTAACAAGAGCTGGTAAAAACCAATTGCCAAAACTGCATGGAAGAAGGCGAAATGGAATCATCAAAACACTTTCTACTAAACTCTCCAGCTTTTTCCAGACTGAGGTAGAAAACTCTCGGTATATATCTTTTCGGCGAACCTGACGAAGTTGCTAGGACTAACATTTGCCGCTTTAACAAACATGTGTGTGGCTTCGTTGATCTTTAAGGATCTGGTGATTCATATCTATTAGTTTTGGGAATCACAATGGATCAGCGTTTGCAGATGTGTCCTGCTTCACCTTTGGTGCGAAGATCAGTTCTAACTTAATCTCGGGTTCAATCAACAGTGTTGATTTTCGGAATGATTTAATAGCATACGGTCCTTCAGTATGTATCTGAAAATTTATCAAAAAAGAATAAAAAGAAGCTAAGGTCTGATGCAGGCGAATTTTATATATCATCGAAATTTGTATGAATTAAAGGCGTGTGAAATATATCCAGGATATTATTTCGTATGAATTAGACATTCGTTATTACGAAAATTTGTTAACCGATAACTCTTATTTGTAGTACCATATTAGACAAAGTTTGAGTAATACATTTTTATTTATATCCAAGATATTTTTTAAAATCAATCTAACTAACAGAAATCACTATATTCAGCACGCTGATTCATGTTCATCACATACTGAATATCACCCATTTTTGTCACCGCATCGTAAAATGTGCAGGAAAAGATGCACACTCAATCCAAATAAGATTTATCACTAAATCGTGGATGCACATGGCACAGAGTATGTATATTTCAAAATTTCGGCAATTTTCGGATTACATATATCCGAAACACTGTTAGTTTATTAAAATAATTGCTGAATTAATGAGGGCATAGCGAAGTAAGGTGTATATAATTAAAGTTTAGGACTAGTTTGGATCAAGAATCTTGAGATAATCTATAATTTGTTGTAAATCTCTCGAATATATGTATATTGCATATGCAAAATCTATATATAAATACTATTTAAATTGACAAAGAAATCAATGAAATAATATATTTATATATTAGTCAACCTCAATGTTTACACCGTTTGCATTATGTACATATTATACAGGGTGTGCATTGAATAACATTGTGAAAGCAACCGCAATGCAAAAGAGTTGCCACTTAATCCCACCAAAAGTAAACAGAATGAGTTGTACGAGTATATTAAGATCTTTGTGAACAATCTTGTTTTGTAATCAGCCATTCCGTCAATCATGTACTAAAAAGTGTTTATTCTGACACCCGAATTCCGAAGGTCAAGTTTATATGACAGAAGCTACCACATTTTAAAGTCAGGCCAATATTACCCAGCCGAGTGTTGTACTACACACTGTTACGTTAACAATTTTACAATGGCGATTTAAATGCACGTATCCACTTCAATACCTCGTATGAGTCTAGAATTACAATAAATTATTGAAATTCCACTAAACTTCTAAAAATAAAAACTACATATAACCCAAAAATGCGATAGTGGATTTCAGCTAAATTAAAAGTTGAAAAATTCACTAGTTTACTGATATGAATTAAATCTAGTATAAATATAATATAAACTATATTCGAATTGTCATTTCTCTGCACTTTATATTTGCGCGCATGTAAAAGCAGTAACAAAGTTATCGAGTTAAATTCGTACAAGAGAGTACGTGGATACCTCATTAAATTAATATAACCGCTATCTTCAATGCTTTTGCATGGCTCAAATGACAAATTATTCTCAAAAATGAACATACAAAGATTTTATATTTTTTAATATTTAAAACAAAACTAAGGCTAAACTAAACTACAACCTTTTCTGATTAACTTAAAATTTATCTAGAGAGAGTTTAAGTGAATTTTATAACTGTGCTAATCTGACATTATAAAATAACAAGTTACGCGTTCGTAAACTTCCTAGCAAGTCAAGGCTATCGAAACCGCGCAACTCATAAGGCCTTTGCGTATGAAAGGGATGAACGAATACAAGTACACAACAATTTCGGTTAGGATTCTCAGTTGGGCCTTAAGAAACTCATACAAAATTTAACAAAAATCTCTGGCTGTGGGGTAATTAACCGGTGATTTAACCGATAGATGCTTGAAGGGTTAATATGTTGTAATATATGAATGTATATGTATATTTATCTCTTATTGCTCTTAAAACACTTGTTTGTTTCGGTTTGATAAGAAAAATAATATAAAACGATTAATTAAAAAATAAGACATCGAGTTTATTTTAAAGTAAAACATTTACCATCATATATTTGTAATAAGACTTATACGTAAGTGCTTGAAGGTCAGAGTCACGGGATTAAATCGTTTAGTGGGGTGTTTTTTGCATTTTCTGAGAAAACTTACCATGTCATATTGATTTATATCCCAACCAATTTAAAAGATAGCTACTGCTTTGACGAAAGAATTTCCGACTGAAATTTTAGTTTTTTTTGATATTACGTTCAACTAAGGAAAAATAATAAATAATTTATATCAAAAAAAACTTGCAGCATGTTTCGGACTTAAAAAGGTTAGTTCACACAAAATGTTGTCAAAGGAAATAATTTTTTTGCAAGATACAAAAGAAAAAAACGAAAACAAAAACTTGTTTTTTTTCATACATTTTGAGATTATTGAAAAGGTGTAATTACAAAATTTGTAGATATCACATTACCTAGCCTACTGCAGTATAACTTTTTTCTTTAAGACTAGTAGGTTTGCCGGGCATCGAGATAAACCGTTTTTAATCCTTAAACATTTTGGCACAGCCTCCCCTTCCTCTTCCCTACCACAGATTAACCGTAAGTTATCTTTCCATTCATTTTTGTTATTTTATCTTTATTATCCAATGGGTTTCAACCAACTATGCTTTTCTCACTTTTTACCATTCAAAGGCTTCTGCACTTACCTATTGTGCGTTGGTATAGTCATATCCAAAAATATATACATAAAAACATGTTCCTCCATGAGATATGTGTTAAAGTGCACGTAGCGCCCACCATATCACTCTATATATTATATTTCTATACATACCTACAGAGATCGAACTTAGAAATATTTAGCACCTTGCATTAGTTAACAGTATTAGTGACTTGACATGCATACAAACACTTCTCCATGAATAAGTTGAGCAAGAAAATACTGCAAATATAAATAAAATATATATATTCCCTAATCGTACATAAATGTTGACAATAAAACAGTGACCAACCAAAGATCACTCTCAGAGAGCATTTATTTATTGTAATCAGCATGCTTCGAAACAATTTAACAATACAGCGCGCTGTTCAATTGCTAACTGTTATACCTCTATGTTAACTCTCTGCAATAAATACACCGTATTTATCGAAAAAGCTAACTGTACTACTAATACCGGTTATGGACAACTTGGCTGGTGCTAAGCGCACCGTTATCAGCAGCAAATTCCGATGTTATGTTTTGTAAATTTGGCTAAATATACGCTCTTGTATCGTTTTTCGAAATTTCCATTTAGCGCGCGCTATTTTCTTACATTCTTTTATATTCTCAAATACTGTGTGCTATCCCTCTGAGCAACATTTTAAGTTTAAAATGCGAAATTTCATACACTTCTTTTATTAGAGCTATAAGTAAATATATTATATTTATCGAATGTTGGAAAATATTGTGTTCTACCGTATTATAAGTAGTAAGTGCTTTTAGCTGCTCAAAGCACTTACTACTTATAATACTATAATAATAAACGATATTTGACTTGTAGCGGTTGTTTGCCGAAACCATCTAGTGGTCTCGCTTATACAGAACGGAGTTCGAGAAATTTTCATGTATGGGTGTACTCAGAGAGAAGAACTGTATGTGTATGTAAAATTATATTAGAATTCGAAGTTACCAAACAAAAGACTCTTACATACTCACATATATACCGGTTTGAGAGAATACCAGTAAGAAGTATGCAGTAGAACCGAGCAATTTCAAGTGTGCTCAGAATAAACAAACAGCAAGCGTGAGCAATCGCATCGGAAATTCGAATTTTCGAAGTATGCGCTGTGAACACAAATGAAAAACCATGTTTTGTGTGTGTGTGTGTTGGTGTTTCCCTGAATTTTTGTTGCTCCCTATATGTATGCTTGCACACACTAGCGCTGGCTACCAATCTAACTCTGCTGACTCTCCTTACGCCAAGCAACTCTCGTATGCACTACCACCATCGGGCTCAATTTTCGTGTGATTCTACAGCAAATTATGGCCGCTACGAGGCCTTTCCGACTGACGTCTCCCTATTGGTATTGGTGCCGCTCATTCGTCTCCAACAATTCGCAGACCATCTCGCTCTCGTCGCACTTTTGCCGCATTTAGTCTTGTTTATGCCGGCTAACATGCAACATAAGCGTCGTCGTTGTCGTGTTTCAAATCGCGCGCAGCAAATATTGTTATCGTCGCCGTAAGTGCAAAACGTTGCCAATCGTTGTCGTCGCAGCAACAGCAATAGCAATAGAAAAAGTAATAGTCGTCGTCATCGTTGTCAACCTAGCCGTCGTATCGTCACCAACGTCAATTGCTGTCGCCTTTGTCTGCGGAGTGGAGTAGAGTTGTGTGGCAACGTCCAAATGTACAACAACCGTTCGCTCGTTGCTAAATAAGTGCAAAATCCACTAGTTACTAACCTAAAGAGCTGAAAAAGTTAAAAAGAGTGAAAAAATCAAGTGTGAGGCAAGGAAATTAAAGAAAACGAAAAAAAAGATTAAATCAGCGGCAAATTGTTGGTTAGTGAGAGTCTATAATTGCAGTGTAAACAGTCGGTAGCCACACCGCCATAAAGTGGTATTAGTAGTAGTCGCCGCAGCAGCTACAGCAACAGCAACAGCAACAACAGCAAAGTCAGACACAGTGAGCAGCGCGTGATGCATGCGTACGCTTTTGGGCCAAGTCAAGAGCAACGAGATACAGTCAGACGTTTCGGCATCTAGTTTCCGCATGCAGTAAAAGCCGGTTAGACCGAGAATTAAAGGTTAGCGAAAATAAAAATAAGAAAGTGCTTGAAAGATTTTCAACAGCGTTTAGTTAAAAATAAAAGAGTGCCATTAGATAACCAAGCGAGGTGAAGAGGTTCATGTGTAATACAGCAAGAAGCCGGTAAGCGTGAGTGTAGTGTTCTACGCGGTCAGTTAATGGGCCAACCAGTTTCAATGTAAAGTCACATAAAAATATTTTCCAGCTACGAGCCGGCAATAATAAAGTACATAGATTCAGTGCAAGCGCACTACTTTGCGCTTTTGATTTAAATCGCATACACATGCGCTACGTATGGTTGTGTATGTATCCTATGTTTGCATGAAAATTCTTCATATTGGCTGAAGCAGCAAAAGAAAAATAGTCTCTAATCGAGTTAATATCAACAGTGCCGGAGCCAGCAAGCACGTCAATAGACTGATAGCGTTGTATGCAAAAAAAGCAACAACAAGCAAACGTATACGCGCACAAGCAGCTGCTGGACGGTACAAAGAAAAAGTAAATAAAATATAAGAAATTTAAAAGTACACAACAACAGCAATAACAATAACATTAAACAGTGTGCTGCCAACGTTTTGTGTGTGTATGTGTGAGCTAGCAGGTGATATGCGGTGATAACCGCCGGTAGCAGTGACGGCAAGTGCAAGTAACAACAAAACAGTGCGTTGGAGAAAACATTGAATCAAATGTATGGCAAAAACAAATACAAATAATTACAAAAGAAAAGTGTGCAAGTCAAACACAGGCGTCAGAAGTTGCTCAACACACACAGCTATATATGTTTGCAAGTGTGAGTGCTCATGAAAAAACTACGTAGATAATAACAATATAAATTCAAAAAAAAAAAATTAAAAGTAAAAATTAAATAAAGTTAAGAAGACTGCTTGCATTGCAGCTCTAAAAAGGCAACTTGCTCCCTGGCAACGCGTTTATTTTTGGAAATATTATCGCTGTTGACCAAAAAAAAAAAAAACTTTAAGGAATTAAAAATTCTCTAAGTTATCAAACATGTTCTGCGAATCATAAAAAATTACAGTGTAAAAAGCAAAATCAGGAAAATTTTTTTTTTATAAATTTACCATAATTCGTCTTAATTTTTAGTAAGTGCTCAGAAGTGTCAAAAATTACCCGTTATAAACGAAATTGTGCAGCATGTGTCAACAATAAATTTTAATACAATTTCATTCCACTGTCTAGACGCCTACATATTATACTTCGCTTTATTTTCGAATTATTAATGCAAACGCTTACTTATGTATGCCTGTGTATGCGTGTGTTCGTTTGATCGGCGCAGATGTTTGATTGGTGCTTTATTAATTTTAGCTGAAATTTTAATTAAAAACAAAACATAAGTAAAAAAACGTGAGCAAAAACAGCAACAAAATTTAAAGAGTCAAAATTGAAATGGGATAAGTAAAAATTAACACATAAATAGTATACAAAATTTAAATAAAAGTCAGCAAGTGACCACAATCGCGAAAGTCACATACATACCTACTTAAGTAACGGAGAAGTTATGCGCCAACTTTAAAATAATTTATTTTAATTTTGCGGTTGGCAAATATCAGTTGGATTTTCTTTAAACTCAGCAACAGCAGCGTGTAAGTAGTTGCACCGAAACTTTACAAGTACTTAATTTAATTTATTTTATTTTTTAAAATTATGTGTTATTTATAAAACTTGTGCACATTAATAAAATATTAAAGAAATTGTAAATTAATGGGAAAACTTAGAACATATCAGTGCCTGCTCTTAAAGTATTGAACAATTCATCGAAACATAACTTAATTTAAATTGTTAAACTTATACGAGATTTCATAAACTTCTGAAAAGTGACTTCAAATCTGTACTCAATCGTAAAACAGTTGTTTGCTTTGAAAAAACAGCGAAAAATTTGTTTCTTCTCAACGAAGAGAGATCCGCTTACTGATCAGCTGAAATTTTTTCAAATAATATTTTGCACTCTTTTATTTGAATTTTTGCAAAATCTTGCGATTCTGCTAAATTGTACAAAACTATGTTCTTTTTGAGGGAAGGTCAATTTCCAGGTGCATATTTTATAGCCTAAAGAGGTATAAAAAGATATTTTCTTGATTTTGATCGATCAGTTTATATGGCAGCTATATGCTTTAGTGGTCCGATCTGAACAATACTTGTATGTTCGGAGATTGCAGCACTTTGAATAATAGTCTGTGACAAATTTCGTGAAGATACCTTGTTAAATAAAAATGTTTTCCATACAAGGGCTTGAGTTGAATCGGCTAATGGCATATGGCAACTATATATTATAATGATCAGATATCGCTTCCGACAAATGATCTACTTATTGGAGAGAAAAAAAGGACGAGTAAAAATTTTCAGGTCCATATCTCAAAAACTGCATGACTAGTTCGCGTGTATACATACAGACAGACAGATGAACATGGCTAACAACCATTCTGAACAGGGTATAAAAATGTCATCATGGCATAACAGCTGTTTTATTTACTTAGAATTCACTTTCCCATATCAAGAACTGGAAAAACATTGTTTCAATATTGAAAAACTGAGCTTCAACAACATACAAGCGCTGGTATAGTTTCCGTTTGGCAACCGTTTACGAATATATTAATTACGAATGGATATCGGCGACCTACCACAGGTGGTTAAGGCGCCAATCCCTAAGTTTTGCTTACTATCTATTATTACGGTTCCTCATTATACTGGCTATAGTATGTTGTGAGTTTTGGAGTTTGTATACATTGAATATCTTTAAGCAAAATTTGTGTAAATAATTTTTTTACGAATGGTAAATACTGATTTGAAATACTGATCTCTTTAAATACCTCGAAGAAAAATATTTACTTTCTAACAGTTTTTGATGTGAAATCATTTTTTAAAGTTAACAATGTCCGTAAATTATTTCTAATTTAAGTAGTTTTCCATTTCTTTATATTTCATTTAAAGAATTCTTTCACAAATTTTGGCAGTGCTGTAAATTACTTTAAACAGCACAGAAATGTAAACTCAGGGTTGTTACCCGTGTTTTCAAGTATACTGGCGACAGTAGTCATTTGTAAAGCAAATAGTTCACACAACGGCATTAAAAACTGTTAGGTCAACTCAACTGAAGTTCAACGGAAATTGTGTGCTCACAAACAAAAAAAGAAGAAAATGAAATCTCAGTTTCTAACATTAATGTTATTACTTTTCACCTGATGGATAACATGATATCATGAATCACGCGCTTGACGCCATTATTAAAACAATTATAATACTAATTTTTATTAAAAGTGCTTCCAATAACACACACAAGTATTTGACATTCAGCACAGCAGCTGTTTAATAATATACACAAATAAAAGTTAAATAAAACCACAAAATTGGCTTTAGGGCTCATACCGTAAACATGGTGAGTGAGGAAGAAAAAATACTCAGAATTAAGCGTCTGGCCATAAAACCAGAAGATCAGTGTTGTTATAATAAAAATCTAATTGTTTCCAGCTCACTATGTAAGCATTCTTACTCACTTGTATTTCCAGCGAATTCAACAAGTCAGAGTGTCCACATGTGGCGTGTGGCAAGTGGCGCCCACTCGGCGCCTACTGCAACTACTGTGTTCACAACAAACCTCTGCTACTCATTACACCCATTCAAACGGTCACAAAAGATGTTTTCTCTGTTGTTTGTATTCAATTCTCTGTTTTCTTTATTTTCGCTAATACGATCATATCTTTTTTGTTTTTGCATCAGGTTTAAATCTGTTCTGCTTTATGGCGATTTGATTTTTGCTTTTAACCACAGCTGACACTGTTGGACACATTTCATGCTCCGCTTTTATTTTCACTTCTACACAAACAAGAAATAAAATAAAACAAAATAAAATGCCGGCGTTATCTCATAATAAATAAATTAGTACAACAACATGCCAGTGCTTGTTGTTGTTCTGAATCACGCAATAAAAGTGAGAACTGAATTTCGTGTTTTTTTTCCATTTTTTTTTTCTTTTTTAATTTTGCTTTCGATTTTTGCGTAAGTTATGGGGACAAAGTTAAGGCCGTAAGCAAAGCACAAAAAATTCGCAGTCTTAAGAAGTGTGCCGTAACGTTTATTTTTATTTGACAATGTTGAAATTGCTGGCATTCTTTTGTTTCACTTTTTCTTTAACAATTAGCTTGATATATTTATTTAAAGCAATATACATATATACATTTGTACATAGCTACATACTATGTGCTTATTGCGATAAATTGCGCAAAGTCCATTGTCAACTTACGGCTATAATTGTGCATGTTTTATAGCTGTTCCTTTGTGTGCGACGTTGCCACTTAAATAATATTTCATAGCCACTTTTAACTAAAACCATATTAAAGTAAAAAACTCAACGTATTGTAGTAGAAATTTTATTCAATTTATAAAAAAGAAACATATTTATAACAAGTAAGGAAGGCCTAAGTTTGGATGTAACCGAATATACGTGCTTTTCGTACAATATATATTTTAATTAAAAGTTAGAAGTATTGCATTGCTTATTTACAATCACAGGCAAGAAGATATACTGTTATTAGAAAGAGATTCTTGGGAAATTCCAATAAGATTTCTTATTTCATATTTATATTAGGCATATGGAGGTTAAGGAAAATATTGATCCGATAGAACTCATTTTTGGCACAAGGGCACGCTGTTATCACAGAAATATTCTACCCCAATTTTAGTACTAGAACTCACAGACTGACCGATATTTTCGGTATAAAATCAGCCTTAGACACTGGTGTCCACATATTTGGTATATGGCTCTTTAAAAAGTTATAGTCCTATTTTGATTCCGTAAGATTAAATACCCTTAGGACACTATTTGTGCAAATTTTCACTCTAATAATTTCAATGATTGTCCAATTTTTGTATTGACTCCCATTAACCCCTTGCCTGCCATCATGACTGTGAAATTAAATGCTTAGGCGTGGTTATTATCTGATTTTCACAGTGTAGAAGGAAATGCCAAAAAGATATCTCTCAGAAAAGTCCGTTAAGATAGTTTCAGTGGTTTGAAAGGTATGTATATTTAATCATTTATATGGCGGGTGTCAAGCCCACAGGAGTCTTTCGCCACTGCGATCTCCTGCAGAAAATAACAGTTTTGTATCTTAATTTAGTTCTTAATTATGACTCTTTATAGGTCTTCGTTTAATATCATTTTGTGGCGGGGCAGTGGTCCGATTACCCCCATAGTAGTACCAACCGCCAAGTGCCAAGGAATACAATTTGTATTGTGTTACCAAATATCTGTCACAGGCATAAGAGTCAGAAAGTTATTTTACACAATTCTTAGAAGACAGAAGACTGCTTATAATATAATATTAAAATATTATTTTAGACCTTCTGAAAATTTTCTAGTTCACTAAAAACGAAATTACCAAAAGTCAATAAAACTTCCTAAAACGAGTTTATAAATTTGCTCCCAATGCGATTAAAGTGGCAATACTTTTTGCTCAATTGCAATTCGTACGACATAAATACCTTTGCGAAACTTATAGATAGGAGCGCGCGCAAATTTGCGAAGTTTTGTATATTATTTAATTCCATGTTGGTATAGTAGTGGTAGTATTTGGAGGGCACAGTAACACAAAATCTACGAATATAGCCAATTGAAAAGTCGAAAGTAGCTGAAAGTGTTTGACGAACAAAATTGCAAAACCAATTTTACTTTAAGTATATAATATCAGGAAATTAAATCCGATCTCCTATTAACCAGCTTTCTATATATAATATAATAAAATAATAATTATCATATTCGAAAGTGCTGAGATAGCTCAAAGAACTCTAATGAATCATATAATCATAAATTAGGACAATGAAAATCTATTCATCATATTTATCTATTATGGTGAGGGGAGGTGCTAAATAAATATTTGCTCTTTTAATATATCGTGAGTTTCCGATTTCGGTTAATATTGAATATTGTGCATAAACGGTAAACTCAAGAAATTTGAATCTGTTTTTAAATTTTAGCATAAAATAAAAAAAAACACCTGAGCAGATTTGTGTTTGGCTCAAGACGCTATGATGACTGATAAGATCAAATTATAGGAGTACTTTTAGGAGCGAGCCTCATTTTGAAGATCAGTCATAGAACCTAACCCACCCTAACCTAGTATAAAAAGCAAAAAGTTAAATTTAAATCAGGAAATTGTATCTTCTTATTATGCAGCCTCCTATTTTTTTGCGTTCAGCGTTTGTATATTTTTAGCTCAGTTTGCTTCTTACGCTTTCAATATTCTATAAACATACTTGTGCATACATCTACATGTATGTACACATTTTCATGCATGCTCAACGATTATGCTAATAGATTCCACAAGCTATAACAAAAACAGTAGCTGACTAATAAGAACCACTTGAAATTGAAACTGGAAAATTGTTTAGATAAAATTAAAGAACAGCAGCATCAAAAAAGCATAGCAATAACAAGCCAAAAAAGGCAAAAACGAAACTAGTTTTTATAGTGATCGGCACAGCGGTGACTCGCTCCGTCGGTGATTGAGTGGGGTACGAAATATTCAGAAAAAAGTTGAAAAAATTGTTGATAAATGCGTGTTTTTGTTTATGCGATTGTGCGAATGCA